TAAGGATTTGTAATTTCAAATAATTTTTGTAATTTGTAATATCAAAATATTTTACTATAAAAACATTTATAGCACTATTATTTAACAGCAGGAAGTCAGTTTTAAGTTATAACATGTTCATAAGATAGAATAGTACGCAGGCCCTACAAATCAGTTCATAGAAACAAATCTATTAACATGCAAAGATTCATATGTATCACACACACAAAAAAGCAGGTCACAGATAATATAGTGTGATATTATTTTTATTAAGAGAAACATACACAAATCTATAAGAATATGGAAAAAATGATGAGTGGTTATTTCTCAGTGGCGGGATTATGGGCAATTTTTCATTTCTTTCTTTTTGTCTTATTTGTATATTCTAATATCAAATGGGTATTATTTCCGTAACAAAGAGAAAACAAGCACAACCACCCCTCCATCCCATCCTAGTTATACACATAAATTATTGCTTACTGAGAAAAGCCTAAAATCTTTAACATGACCTCATTATTATCCACAGCTTGCCCTGAACTCAGCTTATCTTTTTAAACTTTATTATTAGCCTTCACTCATTCTACATATCTAAAGTGAACTACATACTGTTTTCTTTTCTGACACATTCCTTTGCATCCTCTAGTGAAATATTTTTCTCTCTTCTCCTTATTACCCTTTAAGGTAAAAACTCAACATTACCTTCTTCAAGAAGTCTTTCCTCATCTGCCCACCTGGAAGCAAAATGTCATTTCTCTGTGTTGCCATCATGCTTTGTGTTCAATGATAGTATATAAATTGTCCCTTATATAGTAACTCTGTGTGTATATAACTCTACCCTCCTAGTAGAGTATAAATGAAATGATTCTTCACTTTTGTCTAACTTACAAAGCATTTTTATATCCACTGCTCTTTTTTCAGCCTCATCAGATTGCGGGATAGAGAACCAGTATTTATTTAGTGGCAAATGTATATCAGGCAGTGTGCCCTGGGTGGCTGCTAACCAAAAAATTGGTGGTTTGAACCCACCCAGAGGCACCTCAGAAGAAAGGTCAGGTGATCTGCTTCTGAAAGGTCACAGACATGGAAACCCGCTGAGCACAGTTCTATTCTGAAATACGTGGTCACTATGAACAGGAAACGACTCAGTGGCAACCAGTTATATGTCATCTTACTGAATCCTAACAGCAGTCCTACAGACCCATTTTACATATGAAAATATAAGCTCACAAAGGTTCAGTGACTTATCAGGATCATAAACTGGTAAAAAGGATGGCCAGGATTTTTAACTCTGGTCTTGTTTTTTCCAGTACAAAAACATTATCTGTTGTGTCTATCAATGTGTAAGACACAGATAAATGCATGCAAAACTCCATGTACAAAGGTTTTCTAGTACACAAGAACTACTATACGCAGAAAATATTTAAGAATCAACTAAAGTTAGAGCATTTTAGGACTAGAAGAGACCTTACAGACCATACAGTGCAACCTCTACATGTTACAGATGAGAAATATGATTCCTAGAGAAAAATATTTTCCTGCATGCACACCTAGTTAATAGATGAGCTAGGATTAATATTCAGTTAGAGGCAGTGTAGTGTAGTGGTTAAGATTATGGCCTCTGAAGTCAGTCACTTTGGTTCAAATCGCAACTCTGGCTTTAATAACTGGTAATTTACAAAGCTTATCTGTGCCTCCGTTTTCTCATCTGTAAACAGAGGAGCCCTGGTGGCACAATGATTAACTACTTAACTTGGCTGCTAACCAAAAGGTCAGCAGTTTGAACCCATTAGCTGCCCTGCAGGAGAAGAGCTGGTGATCTGCTCCGCGTAAAGATTACAGCCTAGGTAACCCTATGGGGCAGTTCTACTTTGTCATATAGGGTTGCTATGAATCGGAATCAACTTGATGGCACACAGGAACACCAAATGGAGGATAACAATTACCCCACCGTGCTGTTAAGGATTATATGTAACAATGCATGGCAGAGTAAACACTCAATAACAATCAGGTATTTGCTCATCTTCTGTCTCACAGTCTAGTCTTCTTTACAGGATACCGTACTGCCTTTAATGGATTAGTGTGGAGTGGACATTAAGGTCAAGATTGAGTAACGACAAATAAATATGCATTTATTTATGTGGTAAATCCTTTTCTTAAAAACACACGTACAAATACTTTCCTGTGGATAAAAGACATTTTAAAAAGGAATCATTCGTTCAATATTTACTGAGCTCCTACTACATGCCACGCACAGTGCTAGATGCTGGGTATGAGATGAAAAAACAGAATCTCAACCTTCATAAGCAAATTTGATAGAAAATAAAATGTCCCTCACGTCTATCTGTAGGATCTGTGAAGCAAATTTCTTTCATGTATTTAAGTGAATACAACATAATCAAACACACATTAGTATTGTTTACTAATATGTATGTACTATTTACTAATATGTATGTACTAATATATGTAGCCGCTTCATTTGAGGCTACATATAAATGTGTATACACACACACTTATGTTTCTCTGTAAACCTGGATAGTCTTTAGAATTAAGTTCTATGTCATTTCTAGTACTGGTCATTTTAACTAGTTTTAGTAAATTCCCGATTAGGCTATTTCTATTTCTCTACATAAAACAGCATACTAGACGGGCAAAAGCCAAGCCCATTGCCATCAAGTCGATTCTGACTCATAGTGACCCTATAGGACAGCGCAGAACTGCCCCATAGGGTTTTCAAGGAGTGGCTGGTAGATTCGAACTGCTGATCTTTTGGTAAGCAGCCTGAGATCTTAACCACTTCATCACCAGGGCTCCTTAATTAAGCATACTCCCTTAAAATGTGTGATAATCACCATCTGTCTGAAAGTTACATGAGTGAAATAGTTTTGCTAATAATCAGCAAATAACAATTCCTTACACAGCATTACAAAGCTTAATTTTATGAATTTGTGCTCATTCTCTCCTTTTTTTGCTCTACAAACATACACATAAATATACATATATAAAAACGCATATGCGTAAAAAACCTGCTTAAAGAGACAACTGATACTCAGGACTTAAAGCCACCAACATGCTGATGGTCTCTAGATCTCTTGTATTTGTCCCAAGTATTATGCCAATGCACAATACAGGTGTGTTTGAGTTAGGACGATAAAAATGACCAAAGATCAACAAAGAAACTGGATTATTCATATGTGGAAATTACCTTAAGGTGGTGAACACATGCCTTAATTCCCTTTATTCTCAAGTTTTGCTATCCATTTCACTTCTGAATGTGACATACTATCTATCCAATTTTACCTGAGAGTGAAAAGAATGATTCTGATATGTTTATTGATGAAAAGAAGTATATAGGACAGTAAAAAGAGCCAAAGTTTTGGAGTCAGGCAGACTAAGTTCAAATCTCCATTGGGCTATTTAACTGTAAAACTTGTGGGAAATCACAACCTCTTTGAGTCTCAATATAAAATTTTTGCAAAATAGGGATAATATGATTTTTTCTTGAAGAGTTGTAGTAAGCATTAAACCTAAAATAATGAATGTAAAGTGCCTGACAGACAGTAGCTACTCGTAGTTATTCAGTGGTCAGCTATATTAATTTGAATGGAGATATAACAAATCAAGAGCAATGATAAAAAAAAAAAATCACTGGCTGTCTAAAGCAAGGTGCTATATAGAAACAAAATGTAATCTCCCGGAAGTAATTTACCATCTTTTCAATTGAAGAAATAAAGAAAAAATACAGATTCAATAAAAATGACAAAAATGGGACCAAATGGTGAGATTATAAAAGTTTATTGAAAAATTAACGAACAAGGAGATTAGACGATCAACGTGCCGCTCTAAACAAAATTGCATTTACTCTCAAGGGGTAATAAAGCATTTGCCTGATGCATCGGGGAGCTTTGAACTGAACATATTACATTTTTTCTTTATAGCAGAGTAATCCCTAGAATTTCTATTTTTGGAACTGGCTGTTTTGGAAAATCAATCAGCTGCATGTTATGAGAAAAAAAGATGATTATGTGGATATAAGGTGGTGAGTGAAGACTACTTACCTGAAGAAACTGCAGTACTCAAAGAGAGAAGTCACCCAGATTCACCACAACACATCTTTCAAATCTCCGAGTGATTGAGCACCTTTCCTTACATTATCCGTTCGGCCGGAAGCAATTTCTCTTTAGAAGTACTGTACTCTGGTTACCTAGACCTCCATCCAAAATTTTCCTGAATCCCACCTTGTCTAGGATACCTGGAGCAGCGTATGTCCATTCCTTTCTGAGAGCCCACCTACTTCCGGATCACTGGTTTCCAAAAGACAAAACGAGTTTCTAAAGCCCACGCATAGAACTACAAACTTGTTCTCATACCTTGTAGCAGCCAGGTGAACAAAGACCATTCTCCACATTTAACTCAAACTGCAGCGAGGACGTTTAATTAATTCTAAATCAGGAACGACCCTCTCACCCCACTTGCCAAATATCTGTAAAAGTTGTCCACTTCAGCAGATTGCCTGCCTCCCAGGCAAGAGAACCAGGGCTATGGAAACAGAACTAAGGAAAAGGATGGTAAAGCAACTCTCGAGAATCGAAGGTGACCAAATCCTACCAATGGGAGAAAGTAAGAACACTCCTTAATGACTGGTAGAGAGATTTCGCACTAAGCTGAGTCGGGGTACACGATGTCTTTCGCCTCGGCCAAGGATACTTGAGGGCCAGAGGTCGAGTTCCAAATTGGATACATACACTGCGAGTCGCGAAGCCGGTGAGCCGATATCCCAGGGCCTTCTCCAGCCGCAAAACGGATCAAGCACCAGGGGTCTGGATGGGGACTTTGACTGGATCAATCCTCGCCCTCCCGCTTTCCGGGCCGGCCAAGGCGCTGCCCAGAGCCTCGGCCGGAAATATTAGGCCCTGGAGGCAACTCAGAAAAATCACTTACCAGTCTCCCACCTCCGGTGCTGATCCGAAAGAAGCCTGACCCTCTGGCCACATAGTCAAGTACCGCACCCGCTCACTTCTCCCTGACGACAGCTCGAGAGCGTCACTAACAACCACCCGGAAGTCCCACAATCGCTTCCGGTGCCGCTGTGCGCGCGGCGGGAAATTATTTCCCAGAGCCGGGATTAATGAAGCAGCGAGTGCTGCAGCTGCAGTCGTCGCCCCTGCCGCCACCGCCACCCGAAAGAAGCAGCCCAGACACTCCGGCTAGGAAGGTAAAAGGTCTCGTCTCCGAAGACACAGTATACCCTGACTCTGGGAATGTTTCTTCTCTATGCTGTGCCCCCTGAAGTTTCTGCCGCTACTCGGCAGGAAAGTTGGGAAGGGGCTGAGGTGGGTGGCGGCGGTGCCCGCCTCTCGCGCTTTTCTCAGCCGCTGTTCGTTCCCACTCGCCCATATCGCTGCGCTCCGCGCCCGCGTTGGTGGGCTGCGGCTACAGACCCCGCCCCGCAGGCGGGGATGGCCGCCTAGCGCCTGTCTGCAGTGCAGAGCGCCCCTCCCCCCACCTTCCGTTTGCTCAGCGCCGGGGCTCTGTTCTCCGCCGGGAGGGCACTAGGCCACTCGCCCCCTTCGTTTCCATAGAGCTGACTGGGACGCCTCACCCAGAGTCGCAGATTCTTGGCTGCTCTTCACATTTTAGCGTCATTGAAGGTGCCTGGGATCTTCCAGTCCCATCTCCCTGTTTACGAAGAAAATCGTATCATCCTCCTCTCCCTAGTAGAATTTTTAAATATATCCAAATGACAATTCTCGTATTTTTGTTGTTACTGTGCTAGTCGGTAGTTCCTACGTAGGCTTTTTAGCACAGACGCGCGCGTACACACACACACACACTCACACACACACGAACACCCATAGACTTGGCGCGCGCATTTCTTTCCTTAAAGGGTGGTCTGTGTATCTGGGGATTATAATATCTCAGCTGTCTGAAGGCTAGGAACAAGACTAAATGATTATCCTGAGATTCATCTACTTCCAAAGCCTCTGAATAAATATTGACAAAAATTGGACAGCTTCCGGTATGCTATATAAGAATTTGACCCAGGAATTAGATGGATCTTGATTTTGGAGGCCAAGCTCTTTTTTGATTAATGACTACCCTGTCTAAACCAGACAAAAAAGATTTGAGACATTGGGAGTGAAAATTTAAACAGAATTCATAGTATACGTGCAACAGACACTGCACCTTGTCATTGTCACTCTTCTGGTTTATGTTATGTTGTGCTTCAACTCCTAAAAAATATCTATCGATGTAGAAGATGTTCCTGTTTTAGGACAGTTTGACTAATTGCAGGCGTTCAGTACATACATTGATAGTTTGGGGTGGATTTGTATAAAATCAGAAAACCAAACCCGTTGCCATGGAGCGGATTCCGACTCATAAGTGACCCTATAGGTCAGAGTAGAACTGCCCCATAGGGTTTCCAAGGAGGAGCTGGTGATTTTGAACTATTGGCATTGTGATTAGCAGCCGAGCTCTTAACCGCTGTGCAACCAGGGATCCCTGGATTTATATGGAGTAAATGTGATTACTGTGCTTGTAAGTTAACTCAAACAGTATTCTTAATTTATATGAAATATCAAAGGGACTGAATAATGTCTGCTACTTTCCCGAATAATGCCACTGAAGTAAGCAAGCTCTGTGAAATAACAAATATATTATGTCTGTGTTTCTCCACCAGGTGCTCTTTGGAAACCCTATAGGGCAGTTCTACTATGTCCCCTACAATCACTATGAGTCGAAATCTACCCAACGGCAACGGGTTTGGTTTTTTCTGTATATATACGTAGGAGGGGGAGGTGTATGTCTGAGTCAGCAAGTAAGCAAACATGTTTTTAAAAATGCCGAAGCCAGCTGACTGAAGCTAAGCAAAGGTGCCTAATTTGGCTCCTAGGCCAAGAGGAAACAGAATTCTTAAATCCACTTGAATTTACAGCTTCAAATGTATTTAAATATGGGTGTGTTTGTGTGTGTGTGTATATATATATATGTATCGCACTTCTGACAGTTAGCTTTTGGAAACCCTGGTGGTGTAGTGGTTAAGGGCTATGGCTACTAACCAAAAGGTTGGCATTTGGAATCCACCAGATGCTCCTTGGAAACCCTATGGGGCAGTTCTACTCTGTCCTTTAGGGTCGCTATGAGTCAGAATCGACTGGAGGCAACGACTTTATATATACGTATTGTTGTTGTTAGCTGCCATACAGTCAGTTCTGAATAATGGCAACCCCATGTGTGCAAAGTAGAACTGCTTCATAGGGTTTTCAAGGCTGTTACCTTTTGGAAACAAATTGCCAGGCTTTACTTCTGAGGTGCTTCTGGGTGGGTTTGAACCACCACCTTTTCGGTTATAGTCCACCACTTAACCATTTGTGCCACCCAAGGGACTGTCTGACACTATGTATATGTACATATATAACAGCATTTTACTCACACAGTATGAGTACTGTGACATGTGTCCACCTTCTGGAATTAGTTAAAACAGGGATCCAACACTGTTTAACCCTTTTCAGTCTTAGCATTTATTTAAGTTTGCTTTTCTAGTTAAATGTTTTAGATAAGAGAAATCCTGAAACTCTTTCAGACTCTTAAATTCAAAGCAATAGTATTGATTTCATTCAAGGCTTGATGTATCTTCAGAAGAGGGGATTTAAAAATGTTTATCCTTAGGTTGCTGTAGGAGTAGGTTTAAAATCAAAATAGTTTGCAAGAGAACAAACATTAAAAACCACTAGTTTTCATCATGTGGCCTTAAAAACCATGATTTTGAAGAATATTTAATGGCATAGAAAAATGCTCATGATGTAATTTTATATAAAAATTAAGATATGAAGCTGTGTAATATCTAAACTGTTATGTATGTATATATTCACATACGTATGTATGACAAATAACTGCACATCAAATCCCCCCCCCCAATATTAAGAGTAATATCGCAGGATGAAGGAATTAGAGGTGATTTTTAATTTTTCTATAAACTTTGTAGTATTTTTCAAATTATCTTTAATAAGCATGCATTAATTAAAATTAGGAGCCCTAGTGGTACAGTGGTTAAGAACTACAGCTGCTAACCAAAATGTTGGCAGTTCAAATCTACCAGCAGCTCCTTGGAAACCCTATGGGGCAGTTCGACTCTGTCCTGAAGGGTCACTGTGAGTCGGAATCGACTTGATGGCAGTGGGTTTGGTTTTGGTGGTGCAGTGGTTAAAGCGTTCAACTGCTAACCAAAAGGTTTGGTGATTCAAACCCACCAGGCACTTCATGGGACAAAGACATGGCAGCCTGCTTCCACAAAGATTACAGCCTTGGAAACCCTATGAGGCTATTCTGCTCATTCCTAAAGGATTGCTATGAGTTGGAATCAACTCAGTGGCAGTGGGTTTGGTTTGGTTTTTAATTAAAATTAAAAGACAAAATTCAGTAAAGATTTGGGAAAAAACATTAGTTCTTAAACACAAATATGTAAATTAAACGTTTAGAAGTCCTCTTATTTATTTTTGTTAATGATAACTTACAATTTATAAGATGCATTACGTTCTTAAAGCTCTTATGTATACAGAGTTGGTCATAGAAGAAATTGTAATGCCAGATTGGAAACATTTGTCATTATTTTTCTACCGTAGACCTCTTTAAGCATTCCTGACACCCTTGTTTGCAGGACTCTGCTCTTTTACCCAACTGCTGTTCTCATCCTGCCAAACTGAATCAGACCTCTGCATTCAAATCTGTATTCCTGCCTTGTACTTTTTGCATTCTCTACATGTTTTACTCCTTCAAACATGTTCTAGTTATGTATCATATTGTAAAGAATCCAAAGGACCTAAAAAGCTGGCATGTGGTAAAATGTTCTTAATTATGATGATGAATGCTATAGATTCATTTGCATTTCTAACTGGTGTTAACTGCAAAGGAATTTCAGGCATCAGGGATAGGCCCATGTGGGAGATATTTTGGGAAAGTCCATACCACAGAGACATTTGCTTGCTCTGCATTAAGGCAAGCTCTGTACACAATCATTATCTCCTTAGTTGTGGTTTTATATGGTTCAAGGTAAGTACATTTTTAAATTTCAATTGTAAAATAGGACATTTTCCTTTTGGTTAGCAGGTGAGCTCTTAACCACTGCGCCACCAGGGCTCCTTAAAAATTGAGTACTGTATATAATGTTTAATTTTTCCAACAGTAAAGATAAAACATTTAACTGTCAAAAACAAATGCTCTCTTTTGTTTTCTTTTCCTTTTGTTTTAGAATAGTATATTCTGTGTGAATGTTTGAAGGACTATACCCATAAGTTCTAGAAAGTTCTGTAATTTCCCTAGAAATACTACTAGTAAAAATGTATTGTGGTATATTACTTTCTTTCTTGTACTGGAAGACTTCTAGAAATTAGCTCTTGATCCTCTGTATCCTAAAACATATGACCTACTGAAAACTTGACCCTACTTTTAAGGGCTGAGTTGTCTGGATGATTGATACGTATTAAACCACTTTTGTATAGTGTTCTCTTTTGAGTTCGTTGACGTATCGTCTAGTGTTTGTTTTCTTAATCCTGCAGTCATAGGTGGAATCATCAAACTACTGATTTCATAAGTATATATAAATCTATAGATCTATACATATTTATGTCAATATATATATAAATATCAATTTTCCCATATAACTATGAATTAGATTTGTGATCTAGGCCATTAGTTTGTCACAAAGGCTGATGTTAAAATGCATTGCTAGATGTATTGTAAGCTCTGTTGCTTCAAGGAGATCATTTTATTATAGGAAGATACTAGATCAGGCTAGTGGAATTAAAAAAAAAACAACTGTGCTAGTTATTGTGCCATAACTGGAATTCACAAATCTGCAAAAGTTTAAATAGCCCAGTTTTTCTTACAACTTTGTGAGTAAATGTCCTGTGTTCTGATTTCTTTCTAACACATTCACATTTGCATAATGTTTAAAGCAGGACCCCCTCCCAACAGTTTTTCACCTGTTTCTTTCCTCTTTTTTGCCTGTTTAATTCCAATTTCTTATTTAATCATTTTTCGAAGGAAAGAAATTGGTTTAAAAAGGCTTTTCTGATTTCTGCTATTTTACACAGTCATGTTTTCATTTTACTGTGGGCTCTGACAGAAAGTGCTGTTAAATATACAGATTGGATTATTTTCATTACATTTATCCCATTATAAAGATAGTATGGGAACTTTGTTTTATGCACTGAC